CTGAATTATGCCTAGCATTTCGGCCTGTGAAAGAGTTTCATCCATGACCATCACAGGTTCATCTAACCTTATTGGGAAGGTGTCCTCGTTGGAGGATCTGAGAGAGGTTTTGTCAGTCATCGAACGGTTGGACGGTATGATAAAAAGATTTTTGCAGGTTGGAAGGAAATAATTGGAGCTGAGTAAGTATAAAACTTGTGGGAATACAAAAACCGATTGCGAGGTTTAATTTTCAACGTACCGCATCTCAAGGTCAGTTCAGTTCAGTTTTCTCAGGACAAATATGGATCTTGCCAATCGAGCGTCCAGTTCGTTGTGCTGTCGACGGATGGTAGTAGCTTCCAACGCTGCACACAGTTGATTAGATGATCGTGATCCTCTCAATTTAGCTCCGTTGCCAGAACGCTGACTAGTTGGGGGTATGCTGAAAGGGAGGAANATATCTCCTCGACACATTGGTTAGAGACCTCAAGTACACATGCGTTCGTATACACAGATCACATGTGATAGGACAGTCAGTTTTAGAATAATTCTAACAGTCGATTCCGAGTTCGCACCATTTCAAAGCTTCCGGCTAAAGTAGAATTTATTCCTTATGTTCCCACTCTAAATACTAACTTCGGGGAACGTTGCTGACCAACATGCGTCCAGTGCCACGTTGAAGGCATTAACATTGGTGCAGTTGAACACTTCTGCGGGTAGCCTGTTCTACATAGGTATGACTCTGTTTGCGAAGAATGTGGCCCTACATCCACCCTGGCGTGACATTGTTGAGGCTTATAGCCATGACCTCAAATGTTTTGAGCACGAGAAATCGTAAAAAAGTCATCTAGGTTGAGTCCCGCCAGACCTCCAACAATTCTGAAAGTATCTATCAGATCTCCCATTAATCTTTTATGCTACAGCGAAAAGAGATTAAGATCTCTTAACCGCTGCTGTTACCTTTTCCCCTTTTGCCCAGTCACCATTCGGGTAGCTAGGCGCTGCACTCTTTCTAAACATGTTACATCCCTCCTGTAATACGGTGCCCATGGCTGCACACAGTATTCCATGTGTGGGCAAACAATCGACCTATACAGGAGGAGAAACACCTCTGGTTGTCTGCATGTTACTGTAGCACACAGCCTGAACAGCTGCCCCCTAGCCTGATTTGCGGTTTTGCAGCACTAGGTTGATGGTTTAAAATCCTAGGTCATAAGAACCCTTAAGTCCCTCATGTGCCGGGCCTGCTGTATGGGAGCTCCATCCAACGAGTATACCCCCACTCTCGTTGCTAAGTGCCTACACTTGTTTAGATTCAAAGGTAGGTCCCATTTGAACGACCATCGATG